AACAACTCAAGGTCTGCTCCATCCAGATTCTCAGGACTGCATAAACTCTAGATGATACAGCTTCCTTTGAACTTAGGAACACATCCAGAAGGCAGAGGACAGCTGCAAAGGGCTTAGTAACTGACAGAGCCTCCTTCTTTCTTTCTTTTGACCTGTTTTTGCTTTGTCTTTTTAAGTTTCCTTTCTTTTTTCTCACGAATTTTCATCTGGTTTACCTTGTTAAGTCGCATAAAACTCCTAGAACTACTGGCTCAGGAAACCACTATTTACTGGACTCTGTGTTTTAATTTTTTAATTCTTTGAGTTTTTAAACATTTTTACATTATTCATTCATTTTGGAAGTGGGGTGCACGTGTGCTATAGCACATTTATGGAGGTCAGGGAACAACTTTCAGGATTCTGTTGTCTCCTTCCACCAAGTCGGTTCCAGTGATCGAACTCAGATTATCAGGTTTGACGACTAGTGCCTTTACTCTGAACTTTAGTCTCACTGGCCTTTTGTTTTGTTTTGTTTTGTTTTGTTTTAATTCAGGGTTTTTATATGACTCTCAAGCCTGGCTTGAACTCATTATGTAACTCAGGTTGGCTTCCAGGGCTCAGGATCCTCCTGCTTTAACCCCACTAGTACTGACATTACAGGCATGTTCCACTACAAATAGCCATGGGCTTTAATTTATTTGTGTATTTTGAGATACTTTATCACACTGTAGCCCAGGCTGCCCTGAACTCATAACAATCTTCCTGTCTCAGCCTCCTGAATACTGGGATTCATGTGTGAACCATCATTCCTGACCCATGGGCTTTGATTTTTAAGAAGGATTTTCTTCTGACTTTGGGCATGTAGACATGAGGAGTCCAGTGAGAGAGCACGGGCTGTGAACTGACTCCAAGGAGACTTTTGTCCCTTGTTAGTGACCTCAGACTTCACAGCTCCATTACAAAAAGCAAGAATAAAGTGCTGTTAGATCCAGACACAGAGTGGTTGAGCATCATGCTCTATTCTCTTACATTAAGAAATATTTTTTACTCATAGTTTCAAAAAGGGACCATGAGAATATGAATGTGTTTATTGCAGCAGCCTGTCCCCATGCCATCTCCCTGTTCGTGCAGTAGGTGTCAGCCACACACAGCCTTTCTCTTTCTAAGGCCACAGTATTTGGAAGAGAACGACCTGTCCAACTACCCGTTTCCTGGTTATAGAGGTCAATTTCTCCCCAATTTCAGCATGCAAACAGTAAGAAATCACTCAGATACTGGAAATGGAGTTGTCCTAAAGCAAGGACTTGTGAAATGTCCAAGAAGAGGTCTATGTGAAGACAGGGGTAAATGTCAGGGGGCCTAGATTAAGGTCCATGAGTCTCATGGAACAGATTTCAAAGTGCTGACATCAAAATGTGTCTCCAAAAGATCCAGTTATGACACCAGCTCAAAAACACTTAAGAGGCTGAGGCAAGATCCTAAGGTCAACCTGGACGACCCTATCTCAAACCAACAACAAACAAGGGAAGAGCCAGACCTTCTGTTTCCCTCAAAGTGAAAGGCTGAAGCATCAAATAGATGTAGTGTCTTAGAAAAAGCTCAGTGTGAACCAATGACAGCCTGCTTTCCCAAGAACACATCCAGTGTCTGGTCTTTGATCTCTGGCAAGACACTTCTTTGAGCCTTAGCCTAAAATTTTAAGATCATTAAAATAAGAGCTGTAGAGCCAGGTGTGGTAGCACATGCCTTTTATCCCAGCACAGAGGCAGAGACTGGTGACCTCTCTGACCTTTTGAGATAGAGGCCAGCCTGGGATGGTCTACTTGGCAAGTTCTGGGCAGCTGGGGCTACAGGGAGACCCACTTCCAAAGAGACCAAATAAAATAAAACAAATTGGCTTTAACTGGGTATGGTGGCTCATGCCTTCAATTCCAGCACTTAGGAGGCACTTTCTCTACCCAAGACATTTAATGAAGAGGGGAAAAATTGAGATATTATTCAGAAAAATTTACAAACTCTAAAGTACTACTTAAATTCAGAGAGTAAAATTAAAGATGTAAAGGTGGGGCTGGAGAGATGGCTCAGCGGTTAAGAGCACTGACTGCTCTTGCAGAGGACCCGGGTTCAATCCCTAGCACCCACATGGCGGCTATGAACCATCCTTAACTCCAGTTCCAGGGGAATCCGAAGCCCTTTTCTGACCTCTGTGGCATTGCATGACACAGGTGCATTCACATACATGCAGGCAATACACTCACACATATAAAATAAAAATAATAAATTTTTTAAAATGTAGAGTAGCATTACAGATGAAAACAATTTAGTGATCAACATACAATAAATTACAATTAATGGAGTTTTGTTTTTTTTTTTACAATTTTTCATGACATGTTACACCAAGACTTTTCTTTGTCTTTTTGTCTTTTGTGTTCAAGTCGATGATTTTTATTTATTTTTTTGTCTTTTGAGACAGGGTCTTGCTGTAGTCCCAGCTACCTAGAACTCACTAAGTAGACCAGGCTGGCCTCAAACTCACAGAGATCCACCTGCCTCTCTCTCCTCAGTGCTGAAATTAAAGGTGTGTGCCACCATGCAAGGTCAGGCACATAAAATTTTGACACATGTAGTTTATGCTACAAAATGTTACCATCTGAAGAGACATATAATATGAATAATGGTCAGTTTGATGGGGAAAGATTTCTTTTCTAGCATTCACATCACACCATTAATAAACAGTAACAAGTCACTTATAAATTCCAAGTACTATAGAAATGGAAATATCAATCTTCAACAAGCTTCCCTTTCCCCTTTAGTGCCACACTGCATCCCAAGAATCTGCATGATCTCAAAATTCCCTTCCCAATTCATAAATCAAGGGTGCCAAAGCTTACATAATGCTGTGCATTTGCATTCATTTTGGAAGAGACCTCAAATTATCATACTCTTGTACCCTATTAAGACTATACCATTTAAACTGGAACTACAAAATGTTACTGAAAGAACTCACATTTGAGAAGCAGAAAGGTCGTTTTATCCTCGATGTTGATATCTGAGCAGAAATCTTCAAATTGGATTGCTTAATAATGAATGTATCAAAATTTCCCTCAGTGCTTCCTAAGGCTGTCAAGGAAGGCCAGACGCAATTCAAATTTTCTTTATTTCTCCTGACTCATTCCCTTCCATGGAATTTCATGCTATATAGTACCAGCTTTGTCTGTTCTTTTGGTTGACAATTATACACCACCCTTACTTTTTTTTTGCTGAGGTTTTCAACTTGCTGTATCTTGAACTAACAGAAGAAGGGGTTGAGAGCTCAACCTTTGAAACCTCTTACTACTTGCTGAGTTGAGTGATCAAGGGGCAGACCGAAGACTGTTGATTGGACTTTACCCCATTTAGAAAAGCTTTTGCTATGATAGCCTATCCAACCACATTTCAAAAGAATTTATTTATTTTCCAAAAAAGCCCAAATATTTTGGAGCATTTTCCAAAAAGTAAAACCAAATTTGTGTAGTTAGCAGTCAGTTTGGGGAATTTTTGTTTTGGGTTTTTTTTTGTTGTTGTTGTTGTTGTTATTGTTGAGACAGGACTCACTATGTACACCAGGCTGGCCTTGAACTCACAGAGATCCACTTACCTCTGCCTCTCTAGTGCTGGGATTAAAGGAGTGCATCATCACCCATGCCCAGCAGTATTTTATTTTTTAGACAGATTGAAAAGAAAATAATTTTGTTTAGTATATGTAATGAGACTCAAAACCACTTTAGATTTTCAGTTCTTTCTGTGAACTGAAAGCTTCCTTACACTTAGAAACTGAGTTTTCAGGGAAGTGGAGACACAATATCAATATAGTTATCAGTTCCTCATCTCTTAACATCAATAGACCTGCTTTGTGAGCAGCTAGAGGTGCTCACAATTCATCCATCTGCTTTTCAAGTAATTTACAGATAGAAAAAATATTGGAAGTTATGGGACTGGGTCAGACCTACTTACCATGCTTTGGTCGACCCCAGGTAAGTGGTGTAAACCAGGGCTGCAGCATCTTCTTGATGATGACTTTACCTACCTTTCATTATGGTCAGTAACTAAATGAAATTCTTGAGCGTTATTCTTAATCCCCCTCCCCCCATTTTCTGGAAATAGCTTGAGGATGATATCAGTATAGCCTTCTCTCCCGTGTCCTCAATTGATCCATACTTACATATTTCAGTACAGTGGCCTGTTTATTTCTGATGGCAATAAAAGTCCCTGCATAAACTGTTCCCTTATTTATGAACCTCACAGACCTGTAACGCAATACTGGCCAGTGAACGCTCCAGGCACTGTCAACACGAAAGGATTTCACTTCCACTTAGTTATAAGGAGAAAGATAAAGAGAAATGTTTTAAACCACCCCCACCCTTCCTGATCTTTGGGGGTTGTGTGCTAATATTTAAATAGAAGAGGGAGGAGATGGGGCTGAGGATGGAGAGGAACGGAGGAGGTGGGGGCGGAGCTTCCGTCAGCAAATAAAACCCGCCGCTAAAAGGGAAGCACATTCGCGTGTGGAGGAACCACTCTCCCATAGCCGGAGCGATGGAGCAGGCTGCGGCGTGAGGACCGAGCCGGGACCCAGAAAAGAAAGGACGAGAAGGCCAGTCAGAAAGAGGACATCTGGGAAAAGCGGAAGCAGAAGCCGGGGACAGAAACCACAGCAGGTGGAAACCAGATCCAGAGCAAACCCGGAAAGAAGTACCTAAGGTTTGCTTCTCCTCCACCCTTTCAGCTAATGAAAACTACTTTTACCCTCATCATAAAAGAAAGACTAAGGGAAGGTAAAGGCCCTCTCTTAGAGGAGGGGGGCAGCCGGGAAACCCCGACTATCTCTTTGAAGCCTCTCGAGTGAGCCACCGCCTGGTACACGAGGCAGAGCCATCCTGGCTTCTGACGGTAACCCTTTCCGGAGAATTCCAGCTGGAGTCGCTGGTACAGTTCTATTTTTGTATTTAAATATATATGCTCCCCGCCTCTCTTTTTGAAAGAACACTTCCCTTGTTTGTAAGCAAGAGTGACAAGTGTCGATACAAAGTGGAATATTTTCCGTTTTCCCTTTTATTTGCTTGTCACTTTCAGAAGGTAGAGCGATCCCTATTTCTAAAAAGGACGTCTGACTTTTAAAGTCTCTTTACGTGTCTATACACTGACACGCACGAGCGTTTAGGAAGAAACGTAGCTTTTCAAGGTTGGAACTTAGCGAGAAAGATGGAAAAAGGAGCCAGACACCGAAACAACCCTGCGAAGAGCCCCCCAGGTGGGAGCAGGTCGGAGGCCAGCCCCGATGAGGCCGGCTCGGGAGGGGGCGGTGTAGCCCTGAAGAAGGAGATCGGATTGGTCAGCGCCTGTGGCATCATTGTAGGTGAGTCCCGCTCCCCAACCCCACCCCAGCACCACTCCAGCCCCTCTCCAGGGGTCCTCCGGTAGGACTTTAACCCCGCCAAAACCTCTAAATCATGAGTTTTGCTTTGTATGTGACCTTTGGTGTCACCCATCCCCACGGGTCAAGTCTGAGGAAGGCATGGGAAGTGATTTCTGTCATACATATCTTCAGCCAAACAAGGCTGAACCATAGAATGAAACACATGAACCTGGCTGGTCGTGTGCCACAGCATTGCCTGGGGCTGTTAGACGTGTAAGTCTCTCTGTGTTGTCACTAGGCAGTTCTGATTCGGTAGATCCTAATTCAGGACCGGATATGGATTTTTAACTAGCTTTTATGCAGCCACCTTCAGCAGGCTGTGGACCCACTTTTGAGGCTCATTAAGTAGATATTTCATTGTCTTATGATATAGGAAACTGTGTGATGTGTAATAAAAATAGCAACAACATTTATAACAATGCTCTGACTTTTTACTGCTTCTCCATCATGTGTGGCAGGAGACACGTGACAGGGTGATTATTCCCATTTTACAGACAAAGGGGGAGCTGGTCAACTGTGCTGTTCTTTAAGTGGGTAGTTTGTAGCTTCTCTGGTTGCCTAGTGGAATCCACATATCTGTTAACACTTACAGAAGACCCAGCAGGGTTCTCACGGATGAAATTTGTGTCCTAGCTTGGAGGCTCTTAAGCTGAGGAGCTTGGGTGGGCCTGGAAGTGCCAGTGGGATCTTGTTGATGTCCACTTCCCAAGAGCACTGTGCAGGGCAGGGGCTCCCAAAGACAGCTCCATGTCTACACAATGCACTCTTCTCTTTCTGAAGCAGCCATGGAGACAGGTGCTGGACAATGGCTCATTACTACCATCCCTTCAGAGAGGGAGAGTTTAGTCAGCTGTACAGGCTTTATTTCTTCCCAGGAAAAGGAACAGAGGAGTCTCTGGCTCCGGTTCCAATGTATTTCCCTATGGTCTCCCTCTGGAGTTCTTCCGTGAAGGTTTACTGTGCCTTGACGCCTGTGAACCAGTTTCTCTGGGTGACACAGTGTTCCATGCACAGGTCAAGATGTTTTTGGCACCCCAGCAAGTGTGACACTGGAGAACATCCTTGAAGTCAAATAAAGTCAGTACAGTATTCTGATATTCCCCTTCCTCTCTCCACCCAGACTCCTCTGATCATACTATGCCCAGTTTTTTCTCAAAATGGAATTCCATTTCATCTAATTATTCCAGGCATTTAGAGTTATAAAAAAAATAATGGGGGATCCACAAGACAGTCATGTCTTTTACTTTATTTCAATTGTCCTGAAAAATGAAATCAACCTGGTATTCAATATGTACAGCACATGCCTATTTAAAGTCTGTAAATAGGCCAGCGCCTGTAACCTCTTTCATAAATTTGACTGATAGGATTAAGCATTTCCCTCCCTTTGCAAAGTGTCTACTTCACTCAACATTCACACACACACACTCACACATACACTCACACACACACTCACACACACTCACACTCACACACACACTCACACACTCTCACACTCACACACTCTCATACACACACTCACACACATACTAGCACACACACACACACACACACTCAAACCTCTTTCATCCTTCTTGCTCACCCATCCCTCCATATGTGCATGTTTTCATGGCTAGAGGGTGTTTTCTTATTTACTAAGGCTGATGCTATAGGTGATTTTAGAGAAATCAAGATATTTTTCCAAAATGTGAGCATTCTTGTAGTTAATCAACACTGTTTTACCTTCATTCAAACTAAGCCGAGAAACACCTCAGGGTGATATGAGACAAAATCCTTTCTACTTCCCTCCTGCATGGTTATTGTGTTGCAGATGTGCCGAGAAGATTCCATGTCCTCTTCTAGAAAGGCTTCTAAGTGGTTGAGAGCAATTCAAATATTTTCAAGATCAAATGTAAAAAAAAGGACTCTTATTTTCTATCCCATGTAGAATTGGGCAATCTGCTGCTCAGTATCAACACGATGGAAGAAAGAGCTTTAAGAAGAAATAGGAAATTTCCTAAGTAAATCCGATGATATATGGGAAAAGAACATTTGCTCTAGATTTATCTATTTCATATCCAACTGATTTAGAGGGTAGATTAAAATATACATTTCTTTTTTCGTTTCTTTTTTTTTGAGACAGGGTCTCCCTGTAGCCCCAGCTGGCCTGGAACTCACTATGTAGACTAGGCTAGCCTTAAACTCACAGAGATCCTCCTGCCCTCCCAAATGCTGGCATTAATTAAAGGTATGCACCACCGCACCCAGTAAAAAAAATACACATTTCTTAAGCTCATAGGACTTCATTCACGATCATCATATATTAGAAACAACAGAATGGCAGGCATTATGGGAATATAAAATGAACTAATAGAAGACTTGTACCCTAAGGTTATTTATAACCTGATCAGGAAGGTGAGATTTGTGTACATTGAGCAGGGAACACTGAGAATTAACAATAGAGCTTACTTGTGCAGCCGCTGGGGGAGGGCAAATATGGGTGAATGGTGGAATGGTGGGGGGTGCAAAAGGAGAGAAGTTCCCAGCAACAGCCAGGTTAAGACACCTCTTGAAGGATATAGGGAAAAATGGAGGAGCAAGATAGTTCTGGGAGATTTTGTAAGTAAAAGATTGTAGTGTAACTTGTTTCCTTGAGCAAAACTGTGCCTGAGCACAGCTCCGTTCTAGACCATGCACTTACTTAGCAAGTTTCAAATTCGAGATTCAAGGAAGAAAGGAAAGGAGGAGGGAGGGAAGGAGGGAATAAGAGGTTGGGTATAATTGTTCATGCTTATAATCCCAGCACTTGGGAGGCTGAGGTAGAATTGTTGAGAGTTTGAAGTTAGCTAAGGCTACACAAGGAGTTCTAGACCAACCTGGGCTACAGCATGCACCCTGTTTCAAAAGACAGAGACAGAGAGAAAGAGAAGGGGTGGGGAGAAAGAGGAGAGAAAGACATTTTGTCTTATGCATCCCTGAATCTTTAGTGCTTAGCTGGGTACCTAATATGGAACAATTACTAAAATTATTGTTGAAATTAATTGAATCAGGTAAACATCTGAGAACAGTAATAATAAGAAACACTTACTTGGCTGGGGATGTAGCTCAGTGGCAGAGTATTTATACAAGGCCCTAGGTTCAATCTCCAATCCTCCCAATTCAAAAGCATTGAAGCCAGACTTGGTAGCTTATGCCTGTAATCTCAGCGCTCTGTAGACAGGAGGATCTTGAGTTCAAGGCCAGTCTATATATCCATCGACTCTAGAAAAGAAAAGGGAAAGAAAAGAAAAGAAAAACAAACCAACAAACAAGAAGCATTTATCTAGAAGACCATTGGGAACTGGCTTGGAAACGCGTAAGCTAAGACTCATTTCATAAACCTGGGTAACTGTTATTTTTCAATTTTTCTTGGTGGTGGTAGTGGTGGTAGTCCTGGGAATGGAATCCAGAGCCTCGTTCATGCTAGGCAAGAGCTGTAGCCCTGAGCCACACACACATACAACCTCCTTTTAATGTTTAACATTGCAATGGCCCTAATAACCAGGCTGTTCCTCTTCAGGTACTAGACCAGGAAAACTTCTTGGTAGTAGATGAACTTAGACTTCAGCATTAATAGAAACTCCTCTAATCTAAAGAGGATGTGAAGGACAACAAAATTAATTGATTGATGATACCAAAGTTATTATTGATAACTGTCATTATTAAATATATATTATATGCCAGGCACTTAATAGCTGCTTGTCCCTCACAACCCTGAGTGGACAGCACATATTATCTTTTCCTACAGATAAGGGAATGGAGGCAGCTCAGAGGGATAAGCAATTTGCCAAAGGTCATACAACTAAAAGTTTTGGAGTCAAGATTCAAGCCCAGCACTTTGTGTGACTCCTCACACAAACTCGTAGCATTATTCTCTAGCATTCTATTTTTAAATTCTTATTACATTTATTTATTTATGTGTGTGTGCTTGTGCACACATCATGCATGCATGTATATTTGTTGGGCATGTGGTCATGCACACGTCCTGTATGTGAACCTTCAGGAGTTGGTTCTCTCATTGCATCACGTAAACCCTGGAGACTGAACTCAGGTCATCAGGCTTGGTGGCAAGTGTTTGCACCCGCTTAACCATCTCTCCAGTCCTATTTCTATCTTATGTCCTAAAGGGGCATTTTTTTCTTAAAGCCTCTGCAGCAGCCCTAATTTATTTTCATAGATAAAGCAATCATGGTTGTATTCCTTGTGAGGAAAATTTAGTGAAAGGGGGAGCCGGGCAGCAGCTGAGGGTGGAGGAAGGCAATGTTCTTCCTGTGAGGTTGCAGGAACACTGAGAATGTTCAGTTGGAGGCCGCTGGCCCACACAGACCATTGTTCTTCCTAGCCCCTTGAGAGGTGGGCCTACAGAATTCCTAAACATCTAGGTAGCTTTATATTGGTCATGTTTTTAGGCATGTGCTTGGAAGGGCTGGAAGTTATGTCTGAAAACAAATAAGCCATCGACAAAGCCTAAAGAAAAATGTCCTTGTTTTCAATGTACTATATGCTCATGAGGGATATTTGCTGAAAGGAAATACTGGGCACAGGACTAGCTGTACTACTGACTCTCAACTAACACAGTATTTTTTTTTTAAAGATGTGTATATTTTAGTTTTATGTATATAACTATTTGCCTAGATGTACGTGTATGTACTACATCTATGCCTGGTTCCCTTGGATGCCAGAATAGGGTGTCGGATCCTCTGGAACTGGAGTTATAGGGGGTTATGAGCTACTCTGTGGGTGCTGGAACCAAATCTAGGTCCTCTGCTAGAACAGCAAGTGCTCTTAACCACAGAGCCATCTGTCCAGCCCCTTATTTATCTTTGAGGTAAGTTCTTGCTATGTAGCTCAGGTTGACCTAGAATTCTCCATCTTCCCTCCTCAGCCTGCTGAAGGCTGGGATTAAGGATATGATTGGTAACTGA